TTGGTAAAAAAATTAAACTTGTTAAAATTTGGCAATTCCTTCTTCTAAATTTCTAAAAAAAAAATATTTTTTTCCCTTAAAAAACAACCTTTCTTTTAAAAAGTTCTCATGCCATATATATATATATATATATATATATATATATATATATATATTATTTTAAAGTGATACTTAAATTTAAAATTTAAAATTTTCAATCTTAAGTAAATTATATTTTTATATATATTTTAAAGTTTTAAGTTAAATTATATTTAAATTATTAATTAATTAATACATATAAATAAATTCAACTTATAAATATCTAAATTAATTTTATATAACCTAATAAAATCATGTTGGATAAATAAATTATTTAATGAAATTAATTTAATGATTATAATTAAGATTTATAATATAAGAATTATAATTAATATAGAAAGTAAATTTATTAATTTAATTATCATAACTAACAATTTGTTTTAAGTTTTAAAGAGTAATCATATTAATTATCATAGTTTATTTAATTGTCCAAAAATTATCATAATTAACAATTTGTTTTAAATTTTAAAAAGTAATCATATTAATTATCATAGTTTATTTTAAATTCAAATTTTCACAACTTCATCCATTGTAACTTATCAGTCAGGTAAATATCAGTTCAGTTTAATAACATGTCGAATCCTTTACAGGTTAAGTCAATTACAAATCAGGTTTATAACAGGTCAGGTTGATAACAGGTTGGGTATTATCAGTTATTTATCAGGTTAATCCCAGGTTCAGGTTCATATCAGGTCAGATGCAGGTTGTGTTCGGTTATCACATTATTAGGTTTAATTAGGGTTTAGGCAGTTCTCAGGTGGGGTGCAGGTCGTAAATTTCTAAGTCCAACTCAGGTTCAGGTCAACACTAGTTCGGACTCAAATTGATTTCGGATCACTACCACATCGGGTCATAAACAGGTTTAACTCAAGTCGGTCCAGTCAATTTTTTACATCTCAACCCTACGCTTTCATTTTTCCACATTTATTCACTGTTTTTGTTGTATAAAGGGAAATAAATAAATATAAATGGTTGGAGAAGAGCATGACCCATGTTGTAACACCCCGAATTTAGGGTCAGTAGTTCGGATCAACCCGAGACCCAAAGTTTAAGCTCAAATGACCCTATTTAAATAGTTATACCAAGTTTAGTGTTTGTGGGCTTGAGTTTGGGCCCAAGAGTTTTATGTTGGGGGATGAATGTTTTATGAAATAGAAATTAGATGGATTAAAAGTGCAAATTTCTCCTTGTTGTTTTGAAAGCTGAAAAACCCTCCCCTATATTATAATTTTACGTGAACCACCCCTTTACTTAACTTACCAAATATTCTTCTCATATTATCTATTCTTCTTCCTTTCTTAAGTGAGAAACTCAAAAGAATTCAAGCCTAGTTGGATCAATCTAAGGTAAAGTTATTAATCCTCATATTTCTAGCTCCATTTCACAAGCTCTTAATCATAGAGCCAAAAATAGTTGTTGAGAGGTTTAGGAGAAATTAATGGATTCTATCTCAAAGAACCAAAATGTTTGGAATACCCTTGTTTGTTTGAGTAATGGAATCGCTCCTGTCATACTTGAAATCTTAAGTAACTCTGATGCACAAGATTCTGAATGCCTTCCTGATACTCAATTGCCTACGAATTTTTTTTGAATATTGTACGATCTTGATAAATCACTTCCCAATTGAATGATGAATCGGTTAGCTATCAAACCCCCTTGTATAGGGATCTTGATTATGAAATCTTATTAAATTACAAAGTTTCATAGTTCCCTACCTGATAAATACCATGTATCTCCGAATAGTATCTGGATCCTCTAGTGTGTTCCTTATGTGCTATATGATTATTTTATCTTATTTGAAATAAGTTTCACAGAAAATTATGATTTACTGATTAAAGGTTTATGGACTATGGTGGAATGATATATGTTATTTGAATATTTGTTTTCACTAGAAATATGATTATGTCGAATACAGATCATGGGAATTACTTCTTATTATGTGAACTATTTTATTGAAACATTTTTCTAGGTAGGCTGGAGTATGGAGGTTCAACTTTGATCAAGCTGGTAAATCCTTACGGACCTAAGGCGACCCTTGGGTTGGCTCTGAGGCCCCGAGAACTTTCTTGGGTAGGCTCACATGCCCCAAGATGCTCCCTTAGGTTGGCTCCTTATATCCAATGGGTATAAGTAAGCCCTATGGATGTAGTTCTGAGGAACCACATATGGTGTACGGGTGGAGGGCAGTTATATGGTTTATTTCATTGTCACACTTACGAGATTTTACTAGATCACGATCCAGGTATTACTGTTACTTTTAAATCTAATTTTTACTGGATATTGTATGGGTAGGATTCTGGAGTATGGAGGTTCAACTTTGATCAATCTGGTAAATCCTTACGGACCTAAGGTGACCCTTGGGTAGACACATAGACCTCAAGGCATTCCCTTAGGGTGACTCATATACTGCATGCTTAGGATAAGTCCTTATGGATGCAGTTATAGGGATCTGCATAACGGTGTTCGGTTGGAGGGTACTACTATGGTTTTTGAAAATATGTTTTAAGATGTTACTGTTTTAAAAGGATTTGTACCTTCACACTGGTTTTGGTTGGAACACACTAGACATCCTATTCTAATCTCCTAAAAACTTAATACTTTGAATGGTTCCTACGAACTGAAATCTTCATGGCTTTTACTCGATGAAATATCAGTGAAACCCCAGCTCATTACGAAAGTCTGTAGACAGTTGAGTCAATGAGGGAAACTTACGATGTTCCTTTTATATGGATGTCCTTTAGCATCACTTGGTAGTTTGGTATTACTGAGCTTCCCAAAGCTCACTCTTTTACTCACCATTTCAGGTTAAAAGAATCATACCAGTGTAGCTATCGACATCAGTAAAGGAGTTCCACTGGCGTTGGTTGCGGAGTACGGTGTATGTGATTAGAGGGCATGTAGGTTGTATTTTGTTTTATATATGAGTCTGAAATCTGTTTTATTTTTTGATATTGTTAAATTATATTTTTAATATATAAATTGTTTTATAGTATTACGCTCTTTAACAGAAATTTTAATTTTATTGGATTTTTACGGTGAGTCGCTCCAGTGGCCCTAATGTGACACCTCGGATCAGGTCACCCGTATCGGTCCGTGCGTGTTACAGTTAGTGGTATCAGAGCTTATGTTGAGTTAAGTTTTTTGGGTAGACCGACCGGTCGAATGTCATATGATGCCTGGTCAGTACATACCCCTAGACTATAATCGTACTTCTCTAAGCCGGAACTCCAAGGTCTAGTCCCTGTCTGTAACGAGCTAACCTAAATTTTCTATCAGTTAGGACTCGACCTATGCATAAAGGAATACCAGTAATGAGCTAATCCTAAACCCTAAAATTAACCGACCGATTAACTAACCAAAATTTCAATTCGTTCGATTAATTCGATTTTAACCGAAGAATGAACACCCTTAAAGTTACCCTCTATGATAGACTCTTGTTGGGTTCAAAGTTCACATAAATTATCGTTAACAAGTCAAAAAACTTTGGATGCACAACCCAAAGCAGTTCCTGCGTAGCCACCAAAGCAACAAATGAGGTTGCCGTATTTTATTTGCTTGATTAATTAACATCATAAATGTAAGTGGAACAATTTTATTTAACTAGTCAAAAATTGAGTTGTAAAAGATATATATATATAAATCCTTATCAGCTTCATATTCTATTTCTGAACACATAATAAATTTGATTTTTCATTATTTTATTTAAAATTTAACAATTTTGATTTTTAGTTATTTAAAACTTAATAAACAACACGAAAGGATAAAGGAAAAGATATTAGTATATCATGAAAGAAAATGATTATTTTATCTTAGTCATTCATATAGAGCGCGTAAAAGAATGCAGAAAAGAAAAAAAGAAAGAGAAACAACTTTTTCATGTGAAAACCAATGAAGAAAGCGCATGGTGGGTTTTCTGTTAGGTTCCGAGATGTCTAGGAAAAACATTTGTGAACATAAGTGACATAAGCTGCACATACCAAACACAGGTCTGACCATCTAGATCTTCATGAATCAGTCAGAATTGTAGTTTCTGGGCACACCTTTTGTAAGTAGACAATGTTTTCTTAAACCAATCTTAAGAAAAAGAGACAAAATAGTCCATTTTTTATCCATAGGGAAAAATGCATATTTTAAGTTCCAACAGAAAAGTATTAACAACTGTCAAAAAGGAAACTTGTTGGTAACTTAAAGATTAAGCACGAAAGTAACTACTTCACTGTTCACATTAACTAATCCGATTCCTTAATCTTAAGGTTTACACGATCATCCACGAAAGAAGTAGCCAATAGTTTTGGACACTTGAGATTAGTTTATAACCTTAATGGAAGTCATGTCCAAAACATGAGCAAATGAGCTGTATTAACTTTTTGTTTGTCTTTGCAAGGTCGATTGCATCGCTTTCTTTCACAAAGTTATAGTAACACCCAACCAATCTGAAAGCTGTCCATCACCTAAACTACAGCTTTCATTCAAGTTATTTCCCATTTAATTTTGGGTCTATCAAATATCTGAAAGCGTTTGCTTATGAACTTTCAGGGTTTGTTAAATTCATACCAAACACTTGGACGTGAAACCTGGAACGATGTAAAAAACAAGGAAGAGAAATCCCATCTGTTTATCTATTTGTAATATACAAATATACGTCCATGTCAACTTCTGCTTCACGGAAAATTTAAAAAGTGGTGGGTCGCCGTGACCAATTTTATATAGCGATCTTCTTTATCCAAGAGATCGGTATACAAATAAACCAACCTTTTCTGCCCGTGGGATGTAAGAATCAAATTTAGTTAAGGAAATCGCTTGGAATTAAAAGGCGGCTACTTGGTCAAAAAAACTCTAACCTTTTGCTCTCTCTCAACCATTTCCTCTGCTTTTTGTATATATATATAATTTAGCATTTCCCACTTTTTGACTCTGGAGCTTTAGAAGGAAAGAAAATGGAAGTGGTGATACCAGCAATGGATTTTGATTTCAACAGCGCTAGATCATCTCCTCGTTCGACTGCTCCTTTCACGCCTACACGAGTTGGTGGTGGTGGCTGCTTCTTCAGTGCGCCGACCAGTCCCGCGAGGCTGTCCGAGTTTTATCGCGAATTTGATAGATTTTCAATGATGGGTGATAGGCAATGCAGCAGAAGAAGCAATTCTTTGGCGATTCCTTTTGATTGGGAAGAAAAACCAGGTACACCGAAATCACCAAGAGGAGAGGAAGAAGATGATTTTGCTTTTGCTTTTAGTGAGGCCTTGGAGAAAACATCCCTGTCAGCTGAACAACTGTTTGAAGGAGGGAAAATCAAGCCCTTGAAGCCACCGCCTCGGTTACAGGTAGAAGAGTACAACCAGAAAAACCCACTTTTATCGTCCCCAAGGTCGCCGAAATCACCATTATCCCAAGGCAAAAAGTTCATCCGTGAAGCTTTTTCACCGAGAAAGAAAAAAGACCGTGACCCTTTTGAAACTGCCATTGAAACCAGTCGACATCAAACCGACAACCACAGAAGAGGAAGAGAAAGAGTTGAAGATTTATACAAGAATTCAAGCCGTAGGGCAACAAGGTCACTTTCTCCGTACAGAGTCTCGACTTATCCCTGGAAGGAAGAAGAAGAAAAACAAAAGCAAAACGAAAGCACCGTCAACAAGCCATCGTCATTGAATTCAAAGACTTCACTTTCTTCAAATAAGGGTTCCTCCAGAAAATGGAGATTAAGGGATATCTTCTTGTTTAGAAGCGCATCCGAGGGACATGCAACAGATAAAGACCTATTCAGGAAATACTCGTCAAGTTTCCTCAAGAAACCCCGAGAAAACAAGAATTCCAGGGACGTCGGCTCTTGTAGAAAAGTGTCGGCTCAGGAGGTGCATTACGCAACCAACAAAGCAGAATCTGAGAACATGAAGAAGAAAACTTTCTTGCCATACAAACAAGGTATTTTGGGAAGATTAGCGTTGAATCCTGGATTCTAAACATTTAACACGTTCATCAAATCATCATTGGCCATTAAGCTAATATACCAAGTGATTTCATATGTTTGTTGTAAAGATTATGCATCAATCTCTTTGTACCTATAAAATGCAGGATTCGTATGAAGAGCCAATCACCAGTTTTTGAGATCAATATATTTTTGTTTGGCACGCTCATCACTAGGGTAAAATATCCCCGCTGTTGCAATTCTCCATTATTATAATCAGAGGTTTATCATCCTCATTAGAGCTAGCCCACCACTGATGGATAGATAATATGGGTTCCTTTATACAATATTGATATATATTATAAAAGAAGCTGCTCTCCACTCTTTACCAATAGTCTGATATCGTCGGCAAGCAATGCATGCCAAAAGCACATCCAGATCTATGCCCTTATGGCTTATATAAAAGCATTTTCTACTTTATCCGTGTCTTTAATTTTTATCTAGGGTTAATTTGGGCGGAGTTTTACGTTAAAATAGATTTTAATTAAACTATATGATTTTTTATATATTCTATTTCTAAGAATAAATCATATAATGTTTATGTTAATTGAATTTTAAACTCATGTCATATTTAGTCATCTATCCAATTACATTATGTAAAACTCTTTTAGTTTTACACTCTTTTGGGATCATTGGATGAGAGAAATTAAAGGTTGAGACTAACAGTAAAAAAATTGATTGAAAAAACAATGAGTTAATCTTAGTTTATGATTTTTCTCAATCCAATGGTTCTAAAAAGGTATAAAATTAAAAGAGGGTAAACTACACATTTAGTACATAAACTATCAGTTTTATTCCATTTTAGTACCAAAACTTTTCGTTGAACGGTTCGCTTAATATTCGGTTAGTTTACAAGCCTATACCCTTTTCTATAACTATTGACACAAAAACTAGTCACCTAAATTACACAAGGACCAAATACGGAAGGTGAATAAAATAAAGATACGGATAAATCTAATTGTATCGGTAAACGAACCACAAAAGGGGATGCATCGGTAAACAAATCGCAAATTAGAGTAAATTGACGTGAAAAAAAACTATCCACGAATGCAAAACGCGTATCCAAATCAATTCGAGGGTCCAAAGTAGGAAAGATCATCGTGATAACAAATAAGCGCCATATTGATCAGTTGTGACAATGTCATATCTAACCCTGAGAAAAAAGATAAAAGAAAACAACGGCTAAACGACCAAAAATATCAAAAACATAGAAAAACGTATCATAAAGACAGAGATAAATGTGTCACAAAAACATAATTATTTTTATTAAAAAACTAAAAAAGAAATAAAGAGAAAATATAATCGGTAGTCAATAACCAACATTAAAATCGATATCATCATCCGTTAAAAAATTAAATAAAAAGAAGTTGATTTGATCTATAAAAAATGATATAACTATAAAGATAAAAAGAAAAAAAAAGGAGGGAGAGGAGGGAGGAAGAGAACGGCCACTCAACAGAGAGCAGCCACTCTGCTAAAATTATTAAAAATAACGTAAACTTAATAAAATAACTTATCCTGTGAGACAATCTTATTATATATTGGTTATTTTATTTCTAATTTTATTTTTCCTCAATCAAACCGATAAGGATGTTTCAGAGAGAATTAGAATAAGTGCTTGGTTGAAAAATAAATAAAAGAAATGTTATATGAATCGGTTAGGCTAATTTGAAGGCTACCGTAAAAAATAACTGAATATTTTGGTCTCTGTCCACCGCCTCATTGGACCTAGGGGCGTAAATGAGTCGAGTCGAGTTCGAATATTACTGAGCTCGATTTGATTCGAAAACTCTGAAATAGAGTTCGACTCGACTCGAAAACTCGCGAGCTTAAAATTTTTAAGCTCGACTCGAACTCGAAATCCTGAACTGAAGCTCGTGAGCAGCTCGAAAAGGCTCGAAATGAAAAAAAAAATCTTAAACTTAACAAGATTGAATCCTCAAACTCGAACCTTAAATACATGAAAGCCTTATTGTATTTTTTAAAAAAATCAACACATAAATGTTAATATTATTAATAATTTATTTTTAAAAAAATAAAATCTTAATATATTATATTTTCGAGCTACTCATGAGCTTTTCGAGTCGAGTATCAAGTAGCTCGTTTCGGCTCGTTAAGAATTCGAGTCGAGATCGAGTTCGAGTCGAGTCCATTCAATCCGAGTATTTATCGAGCCTTGACCGAGTCGATCTCGAGTAGCTCGCGACCTGTCTCATCTCATTTACAGCCCTAATTGAACCAACCGACCAACCAGATGACTAACGAAAGGAGAAACCAGATCTAGCATCATTTTTATATGTCCGCAACTAATTTTGTCGGAAGAAACAGATGGATATGCAATTATTTTTGTATAAATATTTAATATCATTGTATTCTCAGAAATTTGAATTCGATATCTTAACCAAATTGGAACAATTCATATAAATTAATTTAAATATTTAGTGGTGATAGATATGCAATCCTGCCTTATTCACATCTAACTATTTCACCCAAATACTTTTAACCCATTATCATATTTTGATACTCTATTTTCAATAAATAAATAAGCTGAGCGTGCAAATGCAAGTGTATTCTTTTTTGGATTATTAATGTCTAAAAGAAATTGAACGCGGGAAGTAAGAGACTGTAAGACTACTAAATAATTTGGTTGCTGTTAATTTATCTAAGAGGTATCTTTATTAGGACCGTAAACGAGTTGAGTCGAATATGAGTATTGTTGAGTTTGATTCGACTCGAAAATTTTAAAATAGAACTCGATTAGGCACGAAAACTCGTGAGCTTAACATTTTCAAGTTCGACTCGAACTTTTTTTTTGAAATAGAAAAAATCTTAACTTGATTGAAGCTCGAACTCAAACTCGAACCTAAATCTTAATACATGAAAATCTTATACTACGTTTTTTTTAAAAACCAATACATAAATGTTAATATTAATAATATTTATTTTTTAAATAAAATCTTAATTTATTATAATTTTGAGTTGCTCTCGAGTTTTTCAAGTCGAGTATTAAGTAGCTTGGTTAGACTGGTTAAAAACTTGAGTCGAACTTGTGCTTGATTCGAGTTGAGTATTTATCGAGCTTTGACCGAGTCGATCTCGAATAGCTCACGATATGTCTCGTCTCATTTACAACCGTAATTTTTAGTACAAGGATTCATTTAAGTTAATTATTTTATCATAAATGAATTAATTTTTATCTTTTTATTAGAATATGTAAATTAAATTAATCCCTTTATTAATAAATGGATTGATATAATCCTTGAACTAATAAAAAGAATCAAATATAGATAACTTTATTAGAGTCCACAGTTATTATTTTAAAAATGATAACATTTATTTCATTTTCAGCTCAGATCCAAAAAAATTATTTGCAGAATCATAAAAGCATTTTGAATATTTATTTTATTAAATAATAAATGAATTTTTTTATGAAATGGAAATGAAACTAAAAACGAAGAAATGTGTTGAGATTTTGTATCTTTAGTATTTGATTATTGTATTGGTTTAAATTTATTTATTCGATTATTTGTTATTTTTTATTTACTTATTTCAATTTATACTATTATAATTATGAAATTATATGAAAAGTAATGATCAAAGTATATATTTTAACTATTTATAAGTCGTATTATAATGGTTGTTTGTAAAGCAAAAAATAACTTATGATAAGTGGATAATTTAAATAAGTATGTAGTCTAAAGAATTATTACGAGCAAACAATTTATGTTAAGGCTATTATATCGAGTAAAACTCGATTAGATGGTTTATTTTAATTATCAAAATAAATTAACGCTTAAATATATATATGGTTTATTGCACGATCATTAAATAAGTATTTAAAATAAAATTAATTTTGTATAATTTATATATGTAAGACTTTGATCATGATATTATGATAAAATAACTACATGACTTAAATAGTTATATATAAAAAAAATTAAACACGACTTTAATTTTAAATAGTGTGCTTTTAATTAATTATTTAAATATTATATAAGGTGAAAAATGACAACACCAATAGTGTTAACAGTTATTTGAAAAAATTAATCATCTCTGGTTTATAAGTTGTAATAATAATGTAATTAAATAATATAAATGATACAAATAACAAAAATTTAATACGTCTGGTCTATCACATGCAAATAGAGGGACCGTCCAGTAATAAATCTACATAGAAACAAAATGGCACATAAGAAACAATAAAAATATAAGAGAAGATGAACAACCACGTAAGACGTAACCAATGGGTTGACCTGTACAAAAAGGACAAACCAGCCAATCTCACGCGGATTCAGCTAAACCAGCCGCACTCCAGAGAAACACCAATGGCCCTCTCTGCTATGCCATCAAGTGGCTCACAATCTGCTTCATCGCTTAAAATAACATATCACATATATTTCCTATTTAACCAAAAGCTCCAATTTAGGTCCACTATTACAACCATGACTACACAATTATTACTCCTCTTCCGTGGATTGTTTTTAACTCCTTCAATATTATTGTTGTAATAATTGAAAGGATTTAAGTTTGGTTGGTTTTACAGTACGATATTTTAATATAAGGTTAAAATAAAATGTTATCGATTTTATTATAAATAATAATAAAATCGGTAAAAAATTATCTAAAATGTTATTATTTTTACCTAAAATATTATTTTTTAACATTTCCGGTAAAAGTGTTCAACAATAATAAAACTGATAGCGTCTAATAATATTTATGGTTATTTTTTACCGGTTTTGTTATTTAAACAATAACAAAACTAATAACGCCATTTTTTAGCCGTATATTAAGGTTGTCACACGTGAACATTTTCATTTAAGTTTAATTGTACTTGTATGCATTCTTTTTCACAGGTTTCAAAAATCACAAATAATTCAAATGCTATAGAAAAACAATTGACTTAAGTTCCAAATTCATCCACAATTTAATATTTTGGATGATAAATTCTAATATCAAATGATGTTTCAAATGTATATTTATCTTACTTTAAATTGTAGTAAAAAAAAGATCGAAATAAAAGTTGAGGGGGTACGGTAAGTTGAAATATCAACTCAGACCCGTCCCATAGCATGAGCAAAACGGGCACTCGCCGAGGACCCCCTCTTATCCTGGGCTAAAAATTATAAATTCACATATAATTAAAAAGTGATAAA